CCGGTGCTTACCAATTCTAAAAGCGGTTTGGAAATGGTTTCAATTCTCGAAATCCTTCTTAAATCCGTACCGTACATTTTTTTAACAGCTAAAAAATATGTTTACGTTAAAGCTACAGAAGTAGTGCAAATCAGTGCGTCTTTCTCTTAATGGAGAGTGTTCCTCCCTAATGTATATGGCTAAGCTCACAGGCAAGCAAAGATATTTATTCTTTGAATAAGTGCAGCTGGATTTAAGAAGGGTTTCGAGAATTGAAACCATTTCCAAACCGGTTTTAGGATTGGTAAGTACCGGCGAAACCTCAATAAGGATCCACACTGTCAATGTGTTTGACTTCAGAAAACGCAAACGCTCATCATCAGTTCCGTTTGACGTTTTTCGTGTAGATATATACGAAAACCAATAAACTGCTACGCGAACATATATCATGTCAAAAAAGAAAAAATACGACAAAAATAAGTCGATATCGATCGATCAATCAAACGACTCTACTCGCCCTACTGGTATTTGCTACACAAGCATTCCGAACCAGTACAAGGCATTCCAACCGGTACCGGTATGAATTATAAGGCCGACCGGTATACCCGCATGAATTTTAACGGCGACTAATATACCGGCATTAGTATGAAGTATAATCAATCGGTCGACATTACCGATATTTTGCAGTATGATACAATTTGGCGAAAAATCCCGTGTAAATTCAGTTCGTCTATGACATATTTCTATAAACAAGGAAAAAGTGTTTGTATTTATGCAAAACACGATCAAGACAGGCCGGTACCGGTACAAAGTTTGTATATCGGTGACCGGTACCAGTATCGCAGTTTTGATACCGGTTACACCCCTCATTCCTCTCTGATCCTCATTCGTTATCATCGTCCTCAACATCACATTATAATAATCCTTATCATTCTTCACCACATCTCTCAAGTTCTGATTCTTCACGGTCCATGGAAACTGATGGACTTCTGTGGAACTGTTCGATCTAGTTGATCAGTGAAAGCTGGCAGCAGTTCGACTGAACGGCAAGACGGTAGTTATCGACCAGACCATCATCATCTATAACAATCAACGACGATACACTGCCATCACATTCATACCTACATTTCTTCAGTAGACCGGAAGGAGATTGTCTGATACCGGAAGGAAGTAAACGTACACTATGATTTAAGGCTGGCGAGAAAGCACGTGAAAACCAGCAATTAGCCAACAACATCACTCCTTTCAGTTGGCCATCATCACATTACGGCCAAACAATCCGTATAAATCAAACAACATCAGATAATGTTGTAAAAGACAGAAGTAAGGATGTTGAAGTATTTACTATTGATACTGAATCAGAGAACCGTTAATCAGCATCTTTAGAAATAAGACTCTAACGACTACTGGAAGATGACGATATTAATTATCGTCTGTTAATGGTAGTCGTTATATATTAATGAAGATATTCATGCTAATAAAAACGGCTGTATTTGTCCATATACTGATAGACCATATAAACAAAACAAAGCATTGTGGTCATTACAGAAAGCCATAAACGCAATATTCAAAATGGCAGTAAGTAAAGAAGTACGGCTGAATAACTGGACATGTGGTTTAGATTCCGAATTAAAAACATAGAGAACACAACGGGATATTTATACAAGACAAAAGATGAAAGATTACGCTATTCATGACGTTTTCGGACCAACATATACTTTCTTTTACTTATCAAAAAAGATGTCTCTCTGTTCTATTTTAGGTTTACAATCGTTGAAATTACGATATTTGTCACCATCTCACAGTAATAGCAATCACAATGATAACAATAACGGTGATAATAATATTGATATGAACGATCAATAAAAACAAAAACCTTCCTTCCTTATTTCGGTCGATAGTCATGGAAAAGTCCTTAGAGAAATCAACTAAAATTCACAATTTAATATTACTGTTGAGGCAATATCGGGATTAAAATGCTTTGACGTACATAACCCACATATATGTACGGTTGATCGTGTTCGTTCTTCACGTCTGTTCCATCTATTAACAACATCGACAGCTATTATATTATTAATTGGAACAAATTCTATTAAAGCAACACCAGCAATACAAACAATTTAACAGATAGCGCAATGCCTAACCTATATTCGTAATCATCACCACCATTTAAATATTGTAATGGTTTCGTCATTTCCTTGTAGTAAATCTACACAGATGTTTTTTAAAAAGAAATGTTAGGTTTATAGTACGTTTTTAGGTTCGTACGAGTATTTAGATACAAGAAGGATTTCGAAAATTGAACCCATTTCCAAACCGCTTTTAGGATTCGTAAGCACCGGCGAAACCTCAATAAGGATTCACGCTGTCAATGTGCTTGACAATTCTTCTTTTCACACGTACGCAAAACTGCAATAAGCAAACAGTAACTCTAGTAAGGTTTTGTAGATTTGTCCGATACCCAGAAAAGGTTTAGAAATGGTTTCAATTCTTGAAACCCTTGTTTTGCTTTCGGTGATTTATAGAGAAAACTAGTTCCCTGCAGAGATTCCGATCAAAACAGTTCTGCCTACCGACAGGGTCCAGATTCTCACAGACACTGTAATGACTATTAACATCACAGATGTGGATTAGATTTAGCATTAGTTTTAATCCTAATCTTTTATTCTGAAATTTCTAACACTAGCCACTACATCTATCCCTCGTGAACTCCGACCTGCAGAATTGTATTGAGAAATGGATTTTGCTCATTTCGCTCAATTTGCTGAAGATGCGGACTCTCTCGGCCTTGTTATCATCGGAGAGTTCGTGTGGGACCCATCCAGCCAATTTCCATACTTTTCCGAGCTTTTTGAGTCGCCTGACAATGGTGGACTGGTCGACGTCGAATTGCTCCGTCAACATCCGTGTCGTCAAACTTTCGTCTTCTTCCACCGCTTGCAAAAGAGCTTGATCATCAAAATCAGACCAACGACCTCTTCCTTCCTCATCTTCTAAGCTTGTGTTGCCGGATTTGAAACGATTGAAAGTTGTATTTGTAATGGTAACGGTAATGAAACTATGAAGATGAAGCAAATGCAATGCCTTGATATCGGAGGAAACATCTCTCATGTTAATATTCATTACAGTGTCTGTGAGAATCTGGACCCTGTCGGTAGGCAGAACTTTTTTGATCGGAATCTCTGCAGGGAACTAGTTTTCTCTATAAATCACTGAAAACAAAACAAGGGTTTCAAGAATTGAAACCATTTCTAAACCTTTTTTGGGTATCGGACGAATCTACGAAACCTTAGTAGGGTTACTGTTTGCTTATTGCTAAAAGCGGTTTGGAAATGGTTTCAATTCTCGAAACCCGCTTGCAAAAGAGCTTGATCATCAAAATCAGACCAACGACCTCTTCCTCCCTCATCTTCTGAGCTTGTGTTGCCGGATTTGAAACGATTGAACCATCTTCGGACTTGTCTTTCACCGATTGTTCGTTCACCGAGGAGTTCCTTGAGATCACGAAATGCTTGAGCGGCAGAGTGACCTTTCTCGAAGTGATAAAGCATGATATGACGAATATGAACGTAGTTATCGACACGCATTCTTATTAAAAGGAAGTAAGGAATATTATTCTGAAAAAAGATTGAGACAAAATGCTAAATTAGAAAGATTCGAAGGGCACTAATAAAAACAGTTGTTAATTTTGCATCAATATAATAGTATATTTTATATCTAGGTTCTTAGGTTCTTAGCTTCTCGGCTGTTGAAAACGAATCTAAACATTTTAAGTTCGTAATAACGCCGACCATCCTTGTCTACTTCTAACGTGAACCGATATCAACTGACTAAAAATCAAGTATACACTAAGTTGTTATAAAGCGATTAATTACGCATACGCTTAATCGTTCGACCGGTTATTTTGCACTTTGAAAACGAATGGAAAAATTGGAATGGAGCGAAAATTGTGGATTCGTAATAACGTTTAAGGTTCGTACTACGTGTTTAGGTTCGTATGAACATTTTGGTCGTACTGCGATTTCAAGTTCGTGTGAACATTTAGATACAAGAACCTTTTCTCCTAGTATAATTTATATCCAGCTTTTTAGCTTCTTGGGTCCTTGCACGTGCAAAACGAATAAAAAAAATGTTAGGTTCATCGTACGTTTTTACGTTCGTACGAGTATTTAGATACAAGAACCTTTTCTCCTAGAATATTTATCATCTGGGTACTTAGGTTCTCGTTTCTTGCATGTTGAAAACGAATCTAAAACTTTTAGGCTCTTAATAACGTTTCTCGGTTCGTAAGGACATTTAGACACCAGAACCTGTTCTCCTAGTATATTTTATATATAGATTCTTGGATTCTTGCATGTTGAAAGTGAATCTAAAAATTTTAGGTTCGTGATAACTTCGAAATTTTTGAAGTTTGAGAAG